ACCTACTGTTGGCCTCCCTACTTTCTGCCCTATAAGGCCTAATGGGCACCAGCCATCACTGATGGAAGCACCTCCATGTATCAGGATCTGACTGAGAACCAGTCTGGGTTGTTTCATGGTTGAAGCAACAGCTCTTGTTAAAGCCTTAGCCTTCCTGGCATGGGGAAGCAAATTGGCATTTTGCACAGTTAGTTTGCTCTGATCCCTGAGAAAAACGGGATATAAAGGAAAGCAACTAGATGAAACAAGGACTTATTTATGTTGGCCAACATGCTTAATTGAGATAAATAAAAAATTGGGGAGTATAGATTATAAACGTTGCTGTCCCTTGGGAGGCATGTTCATGATCTGTTTTATTATGGTGCTTATGCAGTATTACATATGGTGTAATAATTTTGTGTATGTGGAACACACTGACATCTTTCTGCATTATACTGAGCTGACAAGGCTTGAAGTATAATAACAAAAGCCCTTGATCTTCTTCTCTCATCGCTGCCAATGCCACCCTAGGAGGAAAGCTGATCTTTAGCTCTGAATTTGCATCTGTCTGTGGTTGGCTGGCACTGCCGCCTTCACAATCTGTTACAGCTGCTGGTCGACCATCCTTTCTTAAGATGATTGCTTGCTAATTGCCAGGGATGATTGATTAGGTGATATTTCCTTAATGGGATATAATACTTAGGAGATTTTTCTCGCCCGCCCCCAATTTACCTGCAGGGCTCAGTCTGAGATCAATGATCTGCTGGAGTGGGGACTGAGAGAAGAAAAGAAGTTGGTTGTCTGAATTTGGAGAGGGACCTTAAGAAACAGATAGAGAATGGAGAGAAAATTTAGTAGGGCTGGGGAGTGGGTTTGGCTGAAGCAGGGTCTGTAGAAAGGTGTCTCAGGTTGAAACAGGGCACCCCTGAAGCACGTTTGGCACCTGAGTGACTCATTTCCTGAAAATAAAATAAAAAATGCTACAGATAAAAGTCCTGTAAAAGCAAAGTAATGTCTTTGGTTTTTCCATGTAAGGAAAAGGCCAAGAGGAGGAGAAAGACGTAGAGCAAACACCAGGATGGGGACATTGAAGAGAGACAGTTCTTGTTATGATAGACAGGTCAAGCTTGCAATCAATTACCGGTTCTGGTAAAGGTTCACTTCCCCTCTCAGACCCAACTTTGCAGAGAATTGATCAGAGGGGAAAATGATGAGCATCTCTCCAGTCCTCACCACTGGTTGCTTAATAGTGTTCATCCAAATGCTTACCTGGGAACTGGTACTCTAGTACCAGTAAATGATGCTGGAGTTGGAACCAGAAACTAGAGATCCCTCCAGCTCCTGCCAGACCCACACCAGGTTGTGGGAGGAACAGAGTACCACTGGTTTGCAGGTGTTCCAATGCAGTGCATTAGCATTCATGGGTTTTCAATATGCAATCAAAATAGAAATTAAGTAGTATTCAATTCATAATCACATCTAAACTTCTGGTCCATTCTCAAATCTTGTTTGCAAAAATTATATAATTTCTTTACCACTAGATTAGCTACAAAATACAAAATTCCACGTTGCTCAAAAGGAATATTCTTTAAAAGGGAGTTGTTGGGGAGGAGGTGTTACTAAATATGTTTGCCAGAGATGACAGTTCTGAATATTATATAAGCATTTCCGCAATTCAGAGCATTTTTAGGGGTCTGGCTAAGCTGGTCCAGTAATCAACTCTGCTGCTCTCTCTCTATTAATTATGCCTTTTGAAAGTTTAGCGAGTCCTATTTTTAAACTGTAGGATGCTGCAGGGATTCAACTCATTGATGATTTCATTATGGGAGTGCTTCAAAGACCTCAAGAGAACCTGTAATCTTCACATGACATTTGCTTGATTAAGGCTTCAGCATTTTCAATTCACAAATCTGTGAAACTCTAATAGAATTATTACCCATTTTCTCATGAGGAATTCCTTGAAGATAAGCCTGTCCTAATTACATTGCTACTGTTTCCTTTTAAAGAAGTTTTTTAAAGTTCTGTGCATTTCAGGTGGGGGAAAGGCAGCAGAACAAGCTCTGGGGTGGGAGGGGAAAAAAAATTCAAGGCAATGATTGAAGTGCCCAGAATCATCCTGCATGTTCTTGGCAGGCTTGTTTGGCCTCTGAGCCCATTGATTTTGATCCATTTGGAAACTTTGCCTGAGCTCCAGGCCAGGGGTGAAGGTGAGTAATCTTTAGCCTCTGGAAATAATAATAATAATAATAATAATAATAATAATAATAATAATAATATATAATATCCCACCCATCTGGCTAGGTTTCCCCAGCCACTCTGGGCAGCACATATAAAAACATAATAAAATGTCAAACATTAGAAACTTCCCAATGCAGGGCTGTCTTCGGATGTCTTCTAAAAGTCATGTAGTTCTTTATCTTCTTGACATCTGATGGGAGGGCATTCCACAGGGAGGGTGCCACTGCTGAGAAGGCCCTTTGCCTGGTTCCCTGTAACTTCACTTTTCTCAATTCTCCAAAGGAACACAGACCCTGGGTGAGTGCCTGGAACCCCTGGGAATCTTGCTGCAGCGTCTGGAACACTATATTTCTGCTATTGAATTCCTTAGCAGGAAATCAGTGCTCACTGTTAGGCTCCTGAAAAGACATAATAGTGGTAACACTTAAGCCTGGTTCATATGTGAGCCACAGGTATCTGGAAGACAATCAGCTAATCTAGCATGGCACTCTCTAAGTGAGGCCACCCTGGCAATGACTCAAAAATAGTGATCAATACCATCATAGTGATTAAGGCAGATAATCACCACGATTACCACCACCACTACTACTATGTCAGGGAATCTTGATAACAAATGAGCATAGTTAATTAAAAGGCAGATTTATTGCAAAAACACACAGAGTTCACCGGAGCGATCACAGCTGTCCGTCCATAAATCAAAGATGTCCCTTCTAAGGAGGGTGTTTCCGGCGAGACCAGAAAAAGACAAACTTCCTCTTGTGACGTATTCTGTCTTGAAGACCCCCCATACGCTTAGACGGTGGGCTAAAGGGGTCAGCTCCCACCCCTTCCTTATTCTCTGAGAGTATACTTCCGTGGTCTTTCCCACTCTCTGAGTTGCTTTCGTTTCCAGCCCCTGTATTTTGTCCTTCACTAGCGTGCTGGCAAGCTGCTGGCTGACTCTCCGAAATGCTGCTATCAGCTGGCATTCCTAAGGGAGGGGGAGTTGGCTATAATCTTCCTGTCTTGTAGTTAACCCTCTCTCATCCTGGCTCCTTCCTTCACTGGGAGCTGGCTGGGCTGGCTCATTCATGACATAGGACACGAGTGGCACTGTGAGTTAAACCACAGAGCCTAGGACTTGCGAATCAGAAGGTTGGCGGTTCAAATCCCTGCGACAGGGTGAGCTCCCATTGCTCGGTCCCTGCTCCTGCCAACCTAGCGGTTTGAAAGCACATCAAAGTGCAAGTAGATAAATAGGTACCGCTCCAGCGGGAAGGTAAACGGCGTAACTGTGCGCTGCTCTGGTTCTCCAGAAGCAGCTTAGTCATGCTGGCCACATGACCTGGAAGCTGTCTGTGGACAAATGCTGGCTCCCTTGGCCAATAAAGCGAGATGAGCGCCGCAACCCCAGAGTCGGTCACGACTGGACCTAAAGGTCAGGGGTCCCTTTACCTTTACCTTTTATAATTTGTTTAATATTTGAACCAGGTCCGATTCATATCAGAGGAAGGGTCGCAGCTCAGGAGCAGAGCACCTGCTTTGCATGCAGAAGGTCCCAAGTCCAATCTATAACATCACCAGGTAGGACTGGGAGAAGCTGGACTGAAATCCTAGAAAACCACTAGCGATGAGCATAGACAATACTTGCCTGGATGAACCAATGGTTTGACTCAGTACAAAGCAGCTTCCTATGCCACCCACGCAACCTTTTAAAAAGCTGTCCTTGTTTAACAAGATGTGAAGATAATATGAAAAGTGTTGGCTTTGCATTTCTTTTTCAGTTATTGTCAGTTGACGCTTCTGGAAGTAATTACCTGGAGTCTCTCAAACAAAACCAACAAATAGAGCTAGGAATTTTTTTTATCATTACGTTTTGATTAATTTCCACTGTTGGTTTCCCTGACTACTGTGTTGAGAGTGGAAGGAGGTTAATTTGAATCGCTTGACACTACACAAGGGTTATGTTTCCTAAGAAAGGGAAGGGATGTAAACAAATGAACAAACTTTCTACAGTCACAGTGGCACAGAGCATGAGGTTGCTAGAATGTGATCTGCAGCACAAGCCAACAACAGAATGTTGCACCACCTTCAGGCACATGGGATACTCTGAGGAACAATCAAATACAGCCGTACCTCTGTTTCTGTAACCCTCTGGTTATGTAAGCTTTGGGATGCGTGTGTGGCAAACCTGGAAATATTTTACCAGGTTTCGCTGTGTGCGCATGCGCAGAAGTGGTCCTCAGGTTGTGGAGCCGACAGGATCTCTGGAACAGATCCCATCCGCAACTGGAGGTACCACTGTATAGCAGGAACCTGGGCAGGGACTCATCCTCCCTACATATTGCCTCCTAAATTATATCTTTTGCAGCACATCTGGTTGTCATGAGTCTGTAAAGCAGGGATTGGGAACTTGTTGTCCTTCAGATGTTGATGGATCACAACTACCATCTTCCCTGACCATTGTCCATGCTGACTGGAGTTGATGGGAGTTGTAGTCCCGCAGTAATCCAGTTGCGGTTCAGGCCTACGGCTTCCTCATCCTTGCTGCCTTTCTATGTTACACTTCGCCTCCGCCCTTATCCCTTATTCCAGGTGGTATGCGTTTCTTTCACCCTCTCAACACCCCTGTGAGGTGGGTTAGGCTGAGAGATAGCAGTTGCTCCAACATAATAGGTTATGCATCTGAGAGAGGATTTTATGGTCTTCCTGGTCCAATACTTTTCTCAACTTTGGGTCCCCAGATGTTCTTGAACTACAAGTCCCATCATCACTGACCACCAGCCTTGGTGGCTAGGAATGGTTGCTTTTCAGATAGTTCAGCTGAAAGAGCATGAGACCTTTAATCTCAGGGTTGTGGGTTCAAACCCCACATTTGGCAAAGGATTCCTGCATTGCAGGGGAGTTGGACTAAATGACCCTCATGCCCCTTCTGACTCTACAATTTTATGATTCTATGACTGATGGGAGTTGTAGTCCTACAACATCTAGGGAACTTAGGTTGAGAATGGCTGCTTTAGCCAGTATGGTAGGCTGGCTCTGATGTCCAATTCTGTTTGCCTGAGAATGGCCAGAAAACAAATTTGTAGGATTTCTTTTTTAAAAAACAAGCAAACATATTATTATGTTTTTTGTGGTGGGTGTTGGTGGTGAAGGGGTCTCCTCCCCTCTCTCTCTCTCTCACACACACACACATTTTACTACAATCTTCTTTTCTCAAAATTCTTCAAGCTCCTGAAGATGCTAATGCAATCTCTTCAGGCTTGAGATCCCAAACTACTCTGGTGCTGGAGCTTCTGATGAGCTACAGACCTCACAGGCTGCCACAAAAGGCATGTTCTCCTTCCGGCCAGATATATCCTCTGAATCCATTGCCTCTTCCACTGTGGATGTGCAGTCAGAGTGCTGGTTCATGAGAGTCTGTCATCATGACGGTGCATGCATCAGTTTTAAAGCGAAAGTTTTAAGTTCTTAACTACTTCTCTAAAGTGATTTTGACTGAAACGAAGTGCTATGCCTTATCAGAGTAACCATTAAGCTTTAACCCTCATCAAGTGTGTTGAAATAAAATTCCAGTTTTGTTTTCAGCATGCCTCATCCTTACTTTCATCCTCTGATTGAGGGATAAGTGGGCACAGATTTTCCTTTCATGTTATTAAAGATCTTTGCTGCTGGATATTATTAGTAAATGCTACCACATACAGAGAATCTCAGACCTCTCAAGTGTTACTGACAGGAAGCATTTTAAGATTTAAAGCACCCAAAATCTGGTCGTGTTACCTAGCTCCCATCCTTATTGAAGGAGTTAGCTGCATTAGCCATAACAAAATCTCATTGAAATAGTCTGTTTGCCCTGCACGGGTGGGCAGCTTTGCGGGCGGGCACCGGGCCTCCCCTGTGGACTAGCCTATTGCAGGCTGGATTGTCCTTCTGCTGCTGAATTGGTCAATGGCAGCAGATTAGAGGGCGTTCCCCTTGGCGAGATGCCAGCTGAAGAGTTTGGATTTGATATCCCGCTTTATCACTACCCTAAGGAGTCTCAAAGTGGTTAACATTCTCCTTTCCCTTCCTACCCCACAACAAACACTTTGTGAGGTGAGTGAGGCTGGCCCACGGTCACCCAGCAGCTGCATGTGGAGGAGCGGGGAAACAAACCAGTTCACCAGATTACGAGTCTACCGCTATTAACCACTACACCAGACTGGCTCAGTAGCAGTGCTTGGCATCATGCCCAGGCAAGGATAATGCCTGGCCTGCAGGGCCTTTCGGCCTCTCACTTGCCTTGCTGGTTCTCCCACCCTCCTTCAGATCAGGGTTTGTTTGTTTGTTTTGCAGATGGTACAACCTTGCTATGGACAATGTCGGTTGCTGGATTTAGGGGCTGGATTTCTTCCCATCCAACAAATTGGCACTGCCATTTGGATTTGCACCTATCTCATAGCAATAGCAAAAAACTTTGTAAGGCAGATAGGCAATTGGATAAGTCTAGTTGTTATGTACTAAGCTTGGATCCTAGAACAATAGGCAAGTAGGATCCTAGAAGCAACAACTGATTGGCTTGCAGGAAAAGACCAATCAGGCTTCAGGAGGAAGTTAATCAGCCTATTAGGCTGGTAGGATCATAGAATGCAACAACTGATTGGCCTGCAGGAAAAGACCAATCAGGCTCCAGGAGGGAAGCAGAATCAGCCAATCAGACGGGACTCATTGTGTAAATAATGTACATAAAAGCCAGAGGTTTGGGGGACAATTCAATCACTGTTTTACAAGCTGCAATAAAGAGCATGAAATCACTACAGGACTCAGAGTATGTTTCACTAGTCTTGGTTGGAGATGAGGTTGTAGCCTCTCCCTGCCCCTCCACGGGTAAGGGTATCCTGATAAAAAGGTCCGGGAGGAGTGGCTCCTGTCCAATGCCCAGATGGGGACTAGGGCCATACCACTCCTCCAACGGGGACTGTTTGGGGGACGTCCTGATTTGACTTAGGTCTTAGAGTGGATCCCCCCCCCCCGTTTCACCCTTAGAAACACTCCCAGCGGATGGGCGGGAGTGACAGTCACAGTTGCTTACCTCAATGCCTATGGTCAAACCTTCACATCTGTAACCAGTAAGGTTGTGGCCTTATTTGATCCCAAAAGCAATATGCTGTGTGTTGTTTAGTTATTTGCACCTTAGGGAACAGGGTGGTCATGGGGCCTTGCCATGCAAGTCAGATGAAATTCTACATCTCATTTCTTTAGGACTTAATTTTGAGTGGATGGAAGTTCAGAAGAAGTTTATGATGTAATAATCAGTATCTTAGCTAAGTGTGCGCACTAATCCTTAGAGGAAGTGGCCGTCTACCAAGTATCAGACCACTGGTCCCTCTGGGATTTTAGGATGTATGAGTTCTACCAATGGGCTAATCCTAACCCTTAGAGTCAAGGTGAGAATTCAAGTAGGCTTCCTAGGTACTTTTAATGTAGTCACATGCAAGCTCATTGTGTTAGCAATGGGAATACAGGATATGTCTACAAAACAACCCAGAATGAAAATCATATGCTGAAGACAAGCAAACATATAATCTTGGGCAGGAGCTTGTGTGCCAGTTGATCTGTTCTGTTCCCACTCCACAACTCAAATATATGGTAATATTTCCCCATTGCTACCTTTTTATTTCCCCCAACAAAATTGCTTTTCCATTTGTACTTCTTGCAAAATTTGCCATAGGAAAGGTACTGTAGGTAGAAAGGAAGGAAGGGGTGCCCAACTTGTCGATCCTCTGAAAATATCCCCATGCATTTCGAATGGAAGTCGCAAAGCAGAGCTGAGTGTTTAACCATGTCAGGCTGCTCTCATGTCCAAACCCAATTAAATAATTCAGCGTTGTGTCCCTGAAGGCACCATGAGAAAGAGATGTGCCAGTGCTGGACCTTAGAATGCTGTGAGACTGTTCAAAGCAGCACAGGAAGGGTTGGGGATTTTTTATTTCAGAGAGGAAGAGAGAAGACAGAGATGAACGGCCTCTGAACTGTGTAGCACTGGGATTCTTGAACCAGGAACACTGAAAACTTCAGGTTTAGAGGTTCATTTTTAGCATGGGACTGGGGCTGTGACAGAACCTGCCTTCCAATTTGTTGAATATTTTTCTTCTGCCAGGAAAGAGGCTTTTGTTTTTTCTTCTGCCTCTTTCAGAGGGTGCGTTATGATTTATTTATCATTTCGGCCTTCTCCATATGAAAAAGTCCCATGGAAGGTGTGATCTCATGACGTCTTTCCCTAGGCTTGAAATGGAAGGGCTTGAAGTCATGGAGGCTGGCTATCAAGTGCTTGAGAATACAGTGGTACCTCGGGTTAAGAACTTAATTCATTCTGGAGGTCCGTTCTTAACCTGAAACTGTTCTTAACTTGAGGTACCACTTTAGCTAATGGGGCCTCCCGCTGCCACCACACCGCCGCTGCACGATTTCTGTTCTCATCCTGAGGTAAAGTTCTTTTTTTAAAAAAGTTTTTTTTATTAACAATTTCAACATATCAATTATCAAAACAAATCATCTTCATTATTTTTCCCCTTCCCCCCTCCCCTAAAAACCCTCCCTCCCTCCCCCCAAGACTTCCCTTAGCTCCTCTCTCTGATTTCTCAACTCATGTTATTCTCTGCATACTGTATATATCATTTTATTATCTGTCTACTATATTAACCCTCAATAAATTTGTGTATGTTTATTCAAAACCTGCCAAGGAGTCCAATTCATTTTGTTGTCTTTTTAGATAATTTGTAACAAGTTTCCATTCTTCTTTAAAGTCACAGTTGTCCTTATCTCGCAATTTGTATGTCAGTTTCGCCAGTTCCTCATAGTTCATCAATTTCTCTTGCCACTGTTTTTTTGGCAGGGTTTCCTCATTCTTCCATCCTTGTGCTATCAAGACTGAGGTAAAGTTCTTAACCTGAGGTACTATTTCTGGGTTAGTGGAGTCTTTAACCTGAAGCGTCTTTAACCTGAAGCATCTGTAATCCAAGGTACCACTGTAGTGCTTCCATTGGTTTTGTTTTTAAAGAAACTGCTTCCTTTAGAAGATCATAGAATCATATAACTGTAGAGTAGGAAAGGACCCTGAGGATCACCTCATTCCTGCAATGCAGGAATATGTAGCTGCCCCATATGGGGATTGAACCTGTGACCTTGGCGTTATTAGCATCACACTCGTGATTCAAACCGACAGAGCCAGTGTGGTGTAGTGGTTAAGAGCAGTAGACTCGTAATCTGGTGAACCGGGTTCACGTCTCCGCTGCTCCACTTGCAGCTGCTGTGTGACCTTGGGCCAGTCACACTTCTTTGAAGTCTCTCAGGCCCACTCACCTCACAGAGTGTTTGTTGTGGGGGAGGAAAGGAAAGGAGAATGTTAGCCACTTTGAGACTCCTTTGGGTAGTGATAAAGCGGGATATCAAATCCAAACTCTTCTTCTTCTTCTTCTTCTTCTTCTTCTTCTACTACTACTACTACTCGCGCCAAAAGTAAAAGCAACAACAAAACATAAAAAAACACTTAACAAATTACAATGGGCAACTGTCAGGTGCATGGAAGGCAGCCTTCCCACTTCCCATGTTTCAAGGAAAGCTCAGAAAAGCCCAGCTGAGATACCACTGTAGTGTGGTGGTTAGAGTGTCTGACTGTGACTATGACCTGGGAGACCAGAGTTCAAATTTTCATGAAGCTCACCAGGTGAGCTTAGGTCAGTCTCTCAGGCTACACTTTTCATAGGGTTGTTGTGGGGATAAAATGGAAAATGGGGGGGAGAGAGCCATGTAGGTCACCTTTAGGGATGGAAAAGAAGGCATTGTTTTTCATTTTGACCTGTATTCGTCCTATGCAGGACTAATTCTATTCTGCTGCAGTTCT